TATATTTTATTTTAACAAACTTAATAATTAACTTGAAATTTAATACATAAGTTATACATTAACACGCAAAATTAATAATATTTTTTAATAATAATTTTCTTGGATGCGGACAATTTTAAAGAGAATATGCAGGCTTTGCCGTTGAACATTGCATTTCCTTCTGAATCTTTTCAGAATGAGCAGTGCTAGGGGCACTCGCCTCTTGCACTCTCCGGCAACACTTCCCCTTTCATTGGGCCACGTAAGCCTGTTTCAGGCTTTCCTGTGCAACCTCATACCGACCAGAATAACATGCCCAATAAAAGTGAAAGTGTTGGCCGGAGAGTGCAGAAGGCGAGTGCCCCAAGCACTCCTCTTTCAGAAAACATAACGTCATTGATGATAGAGGTAAAAGAGAAAATGACGTCATTATTGTTGATAAAAAGAAAAAAATAACATCATCATCACCACCTGTCAACATTAAAGAAAAAGACAAAAAGGAATAAAAGAAAAAGACCTTAAACCCCATGCTAGAGCTCGGCCAATTACGTCATCAAATTTCATTTTTTCTTTCTTTTTTTGCAAACTATTCTACGAGAAAATGGAAGGAACCCACGACCCTACTGAAACAGAATTTGTTCTGTATGCTCGGATGTCAGCATCTTCGAGGTTAAAAAATGGAAGCAACCCATACGCGTCTCCATTAAACAAATAAAAAAAACCTGCTCCGTGCAGCGGATCTAAGATTATTATTATTAATTTTTTAAACTAAAATGATAATTAAGTAATCAAAAGGCATAAAACCAGAACTTTTGATTTAATAATTTATTTTCAAACTTTAATGCTTAGAATTAGTTAATTAAAAATTTTATTTTTATTAATAATTTAAAAAAGAATACTTTTTTCTCTATAATTCTCTCACGTTAAAAATAATAATAATAATAATAATCAGAAGGCATGGGAACACCAACAAAACGAATCTTACTTTTCATATGGGTTTGTACTACTCTGTTTTCTTTACTCTATCCATGGGTTAAGAACCATTCTCCTGGTTTGAAGAAAAGAAT